TCCGCTGAAATGAATGAGATTGCTGACGCCAGTGGGATTCTTCAACTTGGATTTGATAGCAGAAGAATAGTAAAGGCATCCCTTGTGTAAATTTCATCTTCTCCATCCTTTTGGTTTGGTATGAGCCTTAAATTAGAGTCACAGACCATGGAATCAAGCGCAAAATCTTCATTGCCCATGGCAGAAACTATGTTATGTAAATCAAAAAAGAAGATGAAAACAACTGAGAACCAACCCAGTAAATTTTGAGTGGAAATAGCAACTCCTTACCTGTTATCTTCAGAAAGCAAACCCAGTAAATCAGGGGCACAAACCTAAGTAGGAAATCGTTCGCTGAAGTAGAAATTGATCGAGCCATCGCGGGGTAGTTTCTTGCAGGTTTTTTATAGCATAAGAACGCAGAACAACAAAAGCATACACCATCAAAATGTCTTCAATGTTTGCCGTTTTGAGCCACTTAAGCCCATTAAGGCTACATTGGAAGCGCCCATTAAGGATTGATGTTTAATAGCCTTTAAAACTATAATAATAATGCTTCCGTCTCTCGTAGAAGGCCCAATATATAGGGCCTTCTCACAAAGCTTTGGGTTTTTGTTTAAGAATTTTGATGATTGGAACCTTAAAATTCTCGTGTTGAGCGTTGTACCAGTTCTGTTAAGCCACCTGCATTATATATTGAAAATCGACTATCCTTTAAATAGCTTCCTGGACATTCCTTGGCCTTGCCCATAATTTCAATTTCTTCTATTTTCTACATCTTTGGCTTTGCTCACATGCAACAAAAACAGCCTATACCATTGCTCTCTGCCTCATAGGGGGTGGCTTATCCCGTGTCAGTGTCAGTCACTCTTCCTTTGCCAACCTCCTTATCCCATGCCGCAAATGCCCTTGTCTTCCACCCCTTGCGCCTCTACCAACCCTCTTTCCTCAATGTGCTACCCCGGCCTGAACTGGTGGTATTCCCGTACAAGACCAAGCTTCCTCCCCCACATAGCCGCTCCCTTGCAACCTTCCTACCTGGCTCAGCACGTCAAGAAGCAACCTTTAGCCTTTTCACCTGCCCCCCACACCCTCCCTTTTCCACACGGCAGCCGCAGCACTCATAGCCTCTTCCCAAATAAATTAGAAATCAAAAAAATATAATCAATTAGCAATTATTATTAAGAATATTAAAAGTCAAATAATCAATAATTAAAAGTCTAAAGTCAAAAACAATTAACAATTACAATAATTGATAATTACAAAAGAAAAAATACGAAGAAATGACTTAATGGTTAAAATTTTGAAATTTTAAATTAAAAATTTTAAATTTCAATTTTAAGTTTAATAGGAAGAAATTTAAAAAAAATTATTATTTTTTTCATATAAACCATTGTCATCATATGTTATATATATAAAAAAAAGTAATGGCAAAAGAACATCCTGAGTAAAAGAAAAGGTATTAGAACAATAAAGTTATATTTTGAATTGAGAGAAAAAATTGTAGGTTTAAGTAATCAATTATGTTATAAGTGATAAATAAGTTTAGGTTTATCCTTTTTACCTAATAATTAACATATATATACTATAATTTGATATTTTATAGTTAAACCTAAAGAAAACTTTTAATATTTTAGGCTGAGCCTGGGACTTCAGCCCCTAACCCAAACCCCTGGCCAAAGGGTTTTATCCTTCATGGTATCTGTATCTTCCCAATGATGTCTCCAAATATTGTAGTTTCCAGTTTTTATTCTCGTAATTGTTGTAAAATGTATGACTAATATATATCTTTTTTTTTTCAACCGGTTAAAAATTAAAAATTTTATGTTAAAACTCTCAAATTCAAGTTTTAATTCAAGTTTTAATATAAGTGAAGGAAGGCATGAAAAGATAGAAATTTTTTTTTTTTTTT